CGTAGAAGTAAGTGACAGAATGAATGAAATGAAGAAGGATGTATATAAATATTTTCCCTTTATATATCAATCTTCTAGTGTTATAAGAGACTAAATCTTCATTTTATGGTCATCATATAAGATTTCCTTTTTTTTTTTTACTACTGTTTCTTTTTTTTCTTTTTCATCATTTTCTTTTTTCATATCAATCAAAAACCTTGTCACAAGTATTTTATAGGCAATACGTGTTGTTATTTTTGTCAGGTACTTAATCATAATATAAATGAAAAGAAAAACGAAAGAATTTAAGACATTGTGACAACAAAATTGAGTACTATATATTGTACAATATTTACTGATTAAGTCTTTTTTTGCTCTTATTGGATTTTGTTAATACTTTCGAAACGCAATCGTATCTTCTTTCAGTCTTTTTTTTTGAATGATATATATCAGAAAGAAAATCCAATTAGAGACAAAAAAATATATATATACTATATAATATATTTTTCTTCTAATAACTAAAAATTGATTGAATTCTTAGTGAGATGAACTTGTTCATTTTACTCGATTGTATTCAAGTAAAATGTCAAAACAAATAACATTTTCTTATCAAATCTGACTATTTATATAGTATGTGTATATATGTTTTTTTTTTCACCTGCTACTATGCTTTTTACAATTTCAAATAACGTTATAATATATTGCCGTTGATATTTTTACCGACATAGGACAGCACGAACATTACATACTTGAAAATTCCTTTTTTTTTATTTTAGTCTATTCCTTTTGTATTATGTTCATATAGATATATATGATGATTAAGAAGAAAAAAAAAGCGTTTGTACTTGCCTTGTTTTACGTGACATTTCATAGACTAACCAAATTAAATAATAATGAAGCATTATTTACCTGTCGATTGCCTTCTCTTGAATTTTGAATATAATTAAAAAAAACGTTGATATGAACAGTGAATATGAGAAGCAGCTAAATTGATTTATTGGATTTGAACTGCTTCTCATTTATGCGTCAGAAAAAAGAGAAGACGAAAAAGTAAATGTACGTATAATACAAGTATAAACTTAGTATCTACGTCCTTCAAAGACTATATCGAATCGTTATAAAACAAGCATTATGTCTACAATTATTCATTGAATCGAATGTGACAAACGAGTTAAGTTTTGTTCCTTCTCTCGTGTTCGCTTTTTTTTAATACCCACAAGGTATTCTACATTATTTAGAATACTGTAGGAGAAATAGTTGAATTATTCGTTCGACTATTTGTTGTCATTTCATCATAAGTCAATATTGGACTTGGATTATCGTTGTTCAATAGATCATACTATTCTACTAGTGTTGCTGTTGTTAGTAGTGATGGTGGTGATTGTTGTCCATTTCTATCAAATTATCTAAAGATTAGTTAAACTTTCGGAGTGACAGTGACGGTCATTGTATTTTGTTTTTCTTTTCGCTAAGCTTATCTCATTAAAATACAATAGTTTCAATGATTTCTTTTTCTAATTGAATTTTAGAATTTTTCATTTGATGTAACATAATTAAAATCATAATTATTTATCTTTTAGTAATAAAATGATACCAAACAAAAAAAAACAACATATATGAATACATAGAAAGATATTCAATGTCATGTATGACATAATAATGAGAAACTTACTGTTGGTAGAGGAGAATGAGAATGATTATGATGATATTTTCGAGAAGTAATTGATGTTATTGATGGTGGTGGTTTAAGAGAACCAAATGTACGTAAGATTGCATCAGCATATGTATCAATAACTGATGACAAACCATCATTTGTATTAGTTTTAGTTTCATGGTTAATAAACAAACGTGGCATATGGTATTTAAATTATTAGTATAAGATATCTTAAATAAAAGAAAACATAAATCGTATTTTATAGTAAAATAGCAAAAAAAACAGTGTATGAAATCAGAGAGATCAAAAATGTTATGAACATATAGTTATGATCATGCCATTCATTTCAAGATCTAGTAATAAAAGACAAGATCAAATAAAAAAAAGAGTGATCTCTATATAGATTATGTACAATGAACTCATTGGAAGTAATCAATGTATTTAATTATTCTATTTAACAATTGGATCAACTCAATAATCTCATGTTCTTTTTTATTATGCATAGATATACATGTTTGCTTGACTGTCATTCTATCATAAATAGTACTATATTTCAGATTTACAAGACAATCAATGAGACGAAAAGAAAAATTAATATAGTTATTGAACAAGTACGATAGACGGTTAACCTTCTTGAGAAACGTATATAAGTACAGATACTTGTCTTCTCTTAACATGTGTATATAAATATATGTATTTATCGACTCAACGAAATATCTTTACTTGCTAACTGAATTATATACATTTGACTACTTAGCATAGACTCAATAAGTATATTTATGTAGCGATAAATAAACAGTGATAAGACAAAAACTCAATTGATCATATAAATGTGTATATATGATGATGATTATTGACATGTCCATCGAGTCTTTTCTTCATCAATCTCAAACTAATGATATTGTCATGAATGAAATGTGAATGTTAGACGATGACAAAGAGTCAATGAACGTGCCATAAGTGATACGTACTGCATCATAAAGCACACTATATACTTTACACGTGTTGACGGGACAGAATTTGTGTATACAGAGTGATTTTTATAATACAATAAATGAATAAAAACGTAAATTAGTTTGTAATCACCTTATCTCAAACAATAGATGACAAAAATTTTTCTTTTTAAAACTAAACTTGAAATCTTTCGATCAATCATTTTATCATATTGATTAGTTGTAAGAAGACAAAAAGTCGAGACATTTTCTTTTATCGGAGCTGATACTTAGGTCTTATAATCGAGAGTTTTCGATAGATTATCATTTTCATTATTAATCAAAGTTCTCTATTAAAATATTGATTTTAGTTATTCGAAGGAATAACAGGTCAATCATTTGCACGAGTTTTTTCCTATAAAAATCTAACTCAATAATTTCTTTTTTTTTTTTTTACATAAATATGAATATAAGACAGCTTAGAGAAAGATGATTAGGTCAATTAAAATGTTCGCGTTTATATCTACAATCATAGATGATAGATTTAACATGTTTCTACTAATAATCGTAGTAAATGACAACTTGAAAAGCCTATTGATAAAATCTCTTTGGTTATAACAATGGCACTTATAGACTTTTAATGCGCTAGGCAGGACATCATTCAGGCGAATTATTGCAAGTTTTCATTACTATTTAATGTTTCTATATACACGCATCGAAAGTTATTATTTTGTAATGCGATGATATCGAGAACAAAAAGTCAGAAAACATTCATTGAAATATGAAGATCGAATATTCGTTAAAAGATTTTATTTGTTCACAGAGGGTTCGAAATATAAGTCAAATTTTTCTGGCGGAAGAAATATTTATTTGAACAGTAAAGAGTGGAGTTTTAATGTGTCTATATTAATCAAGACATGATTTAATCAAATCAATACTGTGTCATTAAAAATAGTTGTGGCTTCCTAAAGACTCACCTAGAAACCCACCATATGATCATGTGTACTGGTCTCGACGTTTTGGTGACAAAAATCTGATTATGATCGCTGCGTCGGCTTTTTTTGAGCTATGCACCTCCCAATTGTTGATGCTATATTTTGAAACTGATAGTAATATGTTACAGATTTGCCAACAAATTTTCGAAAACCAACTGACTTTACTGATAGAAAACTAGGAACTCCGTTATTGGCCCTAAGATGATTAATTCAAGCTTCAATGGTGTAGGTTTGAACGGAGAAAAATCCTACATCGACTGTCTCACATCATCTCAAACTAACAGTCATATTCTGCACACGGAATCTCATATTATGTTGTCCTTCAGTTGAAAGAAACAATGAAATTAAGAACGACGACACCTGTTAGTTTGGCAGAAAAATATCTTATCTTGAATGTATATCTTTGTTTTAAGAGAAAAAAAGAGCAATAAAACCAAAACACGTAAGTAGACCCTCAAGCTACTTATGACAATAGTAAAAAAATCAAGCATATCGAGTTGTCACTGCTTTTATTGATGTCAACTTATTTAGAGTACGTAAACAAAAATACTATTGACGAGAAATTCTAATGCACTATATGTGAACAATCATTTCAATTACCAGTTACTTTCTCAAAACATAGTGCGACATATTTTGTTGTCAATGTATTATCGAATGATTGAATAAACAAAATACCTGTTCGAATTGCTACGATTGAGTGTCGATACAAGAACTCTTAGTGGTTGTCACTCAAATCGAACGCAATCAACTAGATCTTTTTCTCGATCAATGTTCCCTATGAAATGAACAGAATATTCAACGAGATAATATTCTTCATCGTTGTGAACAATGTTCAAAGAGGACAGTTTCATGTTTGGCAACTAACATTAAATTTATGTGGATAAGAAGACATAATGGAAGGATCGAATCGGTTCGAACATATCCATTTCAACAATTTCGTCCAATTATCGACGAGCTTCATGCTAAACTACAAGATCAAGTTCAACAATGTGACAAACTCATGGACAACTTCGCACTGAACTAAATCCAATAAGACGACAGATGTAGACACAAATCAAAGAGTGTACCGAACAAAGTCGTTTTCTTCTTGCACTTATAAACAATGACAGTCTGATGAGTGACAGTTACTCAAAGCACGAGGGAATAGAGTATGGATGTATCATAGTGGAGGGGGGACGGCGTACTCTAGTACTCCTGAACTTCACGAACTTCATGGACTCCGTGTACTCCGAGAGTACAGTGAGAGCCCAAAGAGTACAATATATTGAACTTCAACGATAGATTCATAATGTTTTTAACATAAGAGGATGTAAAACAAAGAAACAAAGCAGAGCAATTGCATTTATGAGAGAAAAGAAAAAAACTCTCTTTTGCTCTCGACTAGACAAGAATGTGAAGACATAAAGAATACGCTTTTCATGTCAATGAACTCATAATAACATGTCGACTAATGATGATAACATACATTTATTACCATTGGATGATTATAATGATTTTGAGAATTCTTCAAATAAATCAGAAAATGATTCAATTGAAGTAGTGTCAAATGTTGATGAACAAGAAAATCAAATTATTGATACGACTACATATTTAGCATTGAATATAGTAGTTCTGACGATGAATTAGAAATTAATGGTGATGATCACTATAGTTCTGTACTTAACGTTGATAATAATCGTTCTTTATTTGATGATATTAATAAAGGTTATTCTACACTTCATGTTGTTAATCGTTGTCCAACACTTGATCTTAATAATAAACATTCTTTATTCGATGATACTAATGAGAATTGTGCTGCGTGTGATGATACATATTCACAATTTAATTCAGAGGCATCAAATGATGATGATGAACTTGAATATCATGCATTAAATATATCTTCTACATCTTTATCATCTCATCCGTCATTGTTGGCAACTAATACTATTGCATCAAGTAATAATGGAATCAAAGAAACATCAAAACGTAAACGTCGACAATGATCAGTAGCAGAAAAACTTGATGCAATAGCTACTTTTAAATTAAATGAGAGTAAACATTGAACAGCTACGATACAGGCCGTACTACTGCTCAATTACGAAAATGGTTGCATAATGAAACAGAATTAATCGATATTTCGAAAGAAAAAAAGGTAAACTCTTCTAAGTTATCTGATTTATAGTTACAAATACAATTTTACGTCATGCGAAATTTTTATGAAACTTAACCAATAATAGCTTTTTTCGATTACGTATATAAATATATGTAACATAATTCTATTTGAATTTGAAATTTTACCATTTACAGTGAGCATACTCTCAGATTGCTTGGAATCATATCTACTTTTTACTTTACTTCAACAAGATGACTAAATCTATAATCTATAAAGAATTTGTTTTCGTTAATTTTAGGTAGAAAAACATGTAGATTAGGAGGTGCAGATAAAAAGCTAAAATATATTAATCTGGATTCAAAATTATTAGCATGGTATCAAGAACACCGAACTAAACTGACCCAAATTCTTCCACCTCTATCAATAATATTCGACGTGAAAAAGTTTCCTTCAAACAACTTCAACGTCAAGGTGCTAAATTAAGTCTTGAATTAAAACATAATCCACCATCATGTGAATGGTATTATCGTTTCATGAAACTTCATAGATTATCTTTACAATGTCCAAAAAGACAACAAAAAATTCCTCTTATCGATGCTTATAAACTTGTTTCTTCATTTCATTCTTATATTCGACGTGCAAGCAAATGGGATCCTAGGCAAGATCCTATGGGAGCTTTCACACAAAGTGATATTTGTAATATAGACGAAAGTCTTCTTCAATTATTTGGTGATCAAGGAAAACTTAGTATTAATGATATTGGTACACCAAATGATATAGAAGGAAATCTTAGTGATAAACGTTTTGCAACATTGATTCTTACGGTGTTTGATCAAGATAATTCTCGACTCGAGCCTGTTCTTATTTTCAAAGGTAAAGAATAAATATCGTCAAGAGAGAAGAGCCAATATGCACAAGATGTAACTATTTTTCCTACTTCTAGATAAAAGATGCTCATCCAAAGCTATTATATACGAAAAGGCTGCACAATGTACGTACAAGTACTTGATGTGTCGATTTTTTCGGTTTTTAAAAATCATTACGATGATGTAGTGGAGGAATATATTGAAAAGAATGAACCTAGGAATAAAATAAAACTTTCAACATCACAATCACGTATTCTTTACAACAGATTTACTTGGTCTGCATGGATACGAACATTGAAAAGCATCGATTTTCTTAAAGCTTATCACGACGTCAGTTATATTTGGACAGATAATTCACCTGTCTCACTTCGTTCAATGCCCGGTTATACGTTTGATCCAACATCAGTTGAATGTTTGTCGTTAGTGGATGATAATTACGATAATGAAGAACATATTGATATTGTTGCTGAAGAAGCTTCATAACAACAACAACAACAACAACATACTCAAATTGCATCAACCCAAACGAAGCAATTAACATTAATCAATACGTGGAAAAATAAAAAATCGTGATTTTTTTTTATGTTGCAGTTTTTTTCTTGTCATTTTTTAATGAAAGTAATCTAATAAAATGATGAACACTAAAACTTTTTTTCCATACAAATTTGAAGCAAACAGCCATTTAGAAGACTTACCTAAATATAAGACCCATCTGAGAAGTTTATACACACGAATACAATAGAAGACTCTGGGTCTTCTATTTTAAAGGGAGGGAGGGGAGGGGAGGGGAGGAGGGAGTAACCAGCATTTTTCCAGAAGTACCCTTTTCAAGCATATTGTCGTTATCGCACCTTGATAGAAATATCACAAACCACCAGTATCACACCAAACACACTACAGATTGATGAAAATAGAAATAGACCAGCGAAAGCTAAACTTACTTTGACAGTGTAATCATTGAATCGTCATTTCCTTTTTTCTTCATTCATTGTTTGTATTAGGAATGCAGCGGTGACGGTGGCCACCGGTGTCATCGCTGCACCGGGTCACCGTTCCACCGGTATATGGTGCTCCGTAAGCACCGACCACAACGTGCTCCAATTTAAGCTACACAGGTTGATCTGATTCATATCAAAAGTGAAGCTACTCATGTCGTAATCGAGAGGTGCATAGTCAGCTGCTACGCATCATGGCTACTGTGCCATATGATCGTATTTCTCAAACTTCATAAGCAGTTCCCGAACATTGATCACTTCATGGCTATGGATGCAACGGTGACGATCATTCACCGGTTAACCGCCACCGTTTCACCAGTCTCAACCGATAATCGTAAGTAAGATTATCGGTTCAAGCTGATTTTCAAGAAAGTCACCTTTTTCTAAGAAAAATAACGGTATTTTATAAAGGTTGACGAAAGTAAATCGGGGTCGAGGAATTCGAATCTGATATCAGTTTTTCGAAATTTCGAGTTTGAACTTTCACGAAAAGATCTCTTTCTGACAGTTATGGTTTCCTTAAAAAACTATCATCCACGAAATATTGTTTTACTTTACAAAAACTACTTTTTTCTAAAGAAAAATTCATATAGAAAAATGAAACTCGAAATTTCGAACAACTGATATCAGATTCGGATTCCTCGACTCCGATTTACTTTCTCCAACCTTTATAGAAATCGTTGTTTTCTTCAAAGATCCTTCCATTTACCTACAACATTGAGTTCAACATTTTCAAAATCTGGCTCCAAATTTCGATTCTCTGACTCCGATTTACTCTCGTCAACCTTTATAAAATATCATTGTTTTCCTAAAAAATCCTTTCATTGCTGATCATCGGGCTCGGTTGATTATCGTTGCTAATAGCTACGGTTATTGTAGTTGGATCAGTGAAACCATGCCGATATATCGATGAATAATAGTTACCCTTGCATGCCTGCTCATGAATCAGTGGCGTCTAGTCGACAAATCCCGTATTATTGTATTATACTATTTTCCAAGCAAAATTTATCACACTTAAGTCATTAATTAGTCTACAAATAAGTCACAAAGCACGAAATAATGACTAATTTGTATGAGAATGCATTCTGAAAATTTGCGCTTTCGCCAATATAACAGAGCAAGGATCACATCTTCTTATAATTGTAAGAATAAGTTTCTCCAGAAACAAGCTAACAACCTATTATGATGGCCATTTCCTGCCATTAATGGAACAATTTAAAGCTCACAGCAATCGCTCGGGCCGAAACAGGCTTCATTGGCACAGGCTTTCATGCTACCATCAGCCGTATTGTTAGCTTGATAATTGTACTACTGCGCCAAAAAGGCCCTCTATAAGATAATAGTCTGCAGTTAAAAAAACAGTTTGAATAATGACGGTCGCGAACAATAATACCGATTAGAGCACGAGGAATCTACAATGATGGCCGGTTTCTATTATTATGCAGGCGCTTTACATCTCATGGCCCATGCTAATGTTGATATATCGACCATCATCGTAGGTTTCCATGTTCAAACCGACGATATCAGTAACCTGAACATTATATTCGTGGGTGAAAGGGTGTCTTCAATGCGACCATAATTTCGAATCTTGAATACATTTTCAATCCATAGCGTTAAGGCGAATATGGCCGGTTAGAACATCAAGAACTTACTGAGATGACCGAGTTCGCCCATTATTCAGACGACTGCATGCTTGTATCAGCTACTGATGCTCTTACAACGGCCACTACTATAGTTTATCAAGGTTCAACTGACCCTTTTTTCAGCCTAATAACAGTAATTATGTATGAGAGAAATGTTTCCTTTGTCATAGCATCGTTTACTGATGAATATAGTTTCGACTATCGCCGTAAAGGTCAATACTGTCAATTTAGAACCAAAAAAACCTACACTGTAAAAAAAATTCGTAGAATAATATACCCTAGTACTTTAGAAAAATCTTCCTAAACCCTTAAAGGGTTTATGCTGGTGTGTTAAACCTTTAAAGGGTTTTTGTGCGAAACGGTTTCGTAGGAAAAGGATATTTAAAAATAAAAAGGGTTTATAATTAGCGAAAAAGGGTTTATTGTTGTACCCTTTCATGAAAAGGGTTTATTGTTCTACTGTTTCATGAAAAGGGTTTATCATTCTACGGTTAAGGGTTTATTGATCTGCGCTTTCATGAAAAAGGTTTATCATTCTACGGCTAAGGGTTTATTGTTCTACTCTTTCATGAAAAAGGTTTATAATTCTACGGCTAAGGGTTTATTGTTCTACTGTTCCATGAAAAGGGTTTATCATTCTACACTGTAAAAAAAACGTAGAATCCTAAACCCTAGTACTAGAGGAAAAATTTCCTACACCCTTAAAAGGTTTATGTTTTTGTCAGAAACCCTGAAAGGGTTTATTACCCGAAGGGATTATTAAACGAAGGGTATTTTAAAATAATAATGGTTCATTCTACCAGAATTTAAGGAGAAGGGTTAATTAATCTATGATGACGGGTTTCTTATTCTACCCTTCCATTCAAAGGGTTTATTATTATACCCTTGCGCAAAAGGGTATATTATTCTACGTCGAAGGGTTTATCATTTTACCGTTCCATAAAAGGGTTTTTATTTTGTGTTTGACACTTTTAGTCTAGTTCGAGATGTTGATTATTCTTTACTTATTTCCGGAGTAATTATTACTTGTTGTATGAAATGGCCAAACTTC